TCCCTGTTCTCATGATGAAGCAGTCAAAGGATTAGATGTTCTCCTTAGTTGTGGCACTTCTATCACAGGAGTTGTGCTCAACTGAGAGTTATCCTTTTTTGGTTTTGAAAGAGCAGAAATGCTTCCTTACCCAGCAAATACAACCCCGGCGCTTCCCACCACTGAAGCTGAGAGAAGGATCATCAACCACGGAGCCCCTGGAAGGCTGCCCCAAGCCTGAATAAATGTGGGGTGTTGAATGAATGGTGAATGCAGCAGTTGGCACCTGTTGAGGTCCAGGAAAAAGGTGAGTTGATAGCACACATGGGATGGATTTTTCAGGGCCAAATGTAAGATGCACAGATCTACCCGTTTCCCAGCACGTACTTATTAGTAGCCTCAGCTAGAGACTCAATAGCCTAGCAGCAGGGCACAAAGGAGAGGGGTGAAGTGCTCCTACTGGAAGTAACTTCTTGGTAAAAAAAAAAGGAATGCTTTCACAGCAGTCAGCTTGTGTTCGCACATGACTGATTCATCAAAAGTGCTTGTATTCAGGCTTCTCTTTTAAATTTCCAGGCTGTTCCTCTGGCGCTGCTGAGTTTAATAGGTAACTGTCCTCTCTCCTTAAGAACAAATTAAAAGCAACACAATGGCCAACACGTTTCTACTTGCTTAAAGTAAATGAAATACTAAGAGCAGATGGACAACGTTCTGTAAAAGTACACAATGCTATGAATACTTTGATCCCCCAACAGTTGTTATTACAATTTGACAAAAAATATGCCTTTAAATTAAAAGAGAATGTTAAAAAAACTCCCAAACAGCGTGCTACCTACAAGAAGCACGTGTTTGCATGCAGAACTAACAAGGAAAATAAGCTCAGAGTAGGACCAGTAAAGAACATGGGTAATGCCTGAACTCCGTTCAAAGTTCCTAGGGACACTGTACCCACACGGAGAGGAGGGAAACCTAACACAAATTCCTGCACCCACATACATCCACTAAAAAAGAAATGCTAAGCTACTTGCCAGCATCTGGAATGCCATCGCTCTGGGGCTGACCTCCAGAGGGAAGCATCCCTGTCAATTTGGGATCCAGGGACCGGTATCTCTCTGGTTAGGCTCTCTGTATCATTTTTTTTCCTAAGAGTTGATCAAGGTTCACTCTTACAAATGACAGCAGAAGGATACTTGGGACGCCCCAAGTAATATGAAGGGGCTCTGCTAGGAACCACTCAGGGTGAGCTGACCAGAACCATTCAGAGAACAGAAGCAGGACTTGGCATTAGCCTTGCTCCACCTCCACTGCGCACGAGGGAACAGACGCTCCTCGGTTCCCCTGCATTTCTACCTCCTATTCAAAATAAGACCGAGGAGAACAGATGACACCTGCTATGCCATACCCCTCAACCTGCTTCCCTCCGCCCAGTGAAGCGTTGTACCTCAGCTGCTCACCTCCATCCTTCCGCCTCACTCTCCCTTTCCCTCCTGTATCCTAAGGGAGAAGCAGGGAAGCCGTTGATGTTTCTCCCGCTAACACCCTCCCTGTAAGTGTCAGCAGGGAAAAGTGCAGAGAAAAAAACAACCAACCAACTGGTCCTTGAGCAAATGCTTAAGCTTGTGGCTGCGGGTGAAGTCCTGCAGTGGGTTCGGGTCCCCACTCTCAACAACCTCCCAACAGTCTCTCGCACCTGACAGCCCCCTGCGTAAGACCCACCAGCTAGCCAGGGTTCTTCATCAAAGCCCAGGTTTTACCCTCAAGGCTGTTGTGTCAAAAATAGAGACAACCATCCCATTCCCATCTACTGACTCTTCCCACCCAGGCGGAGATGCACATCATGGGGGGTCCCAGCGCCCACTGCCAGCCTCCTGCAGTGCCCACAAGGTCAAGGCAAGGGCAGTCTTGTTCCCGCGTTAGGCGCGAGCTGAAGTCAGAGCAAGATGTTCAGCTATGAAGGCACCTGCACAAACCGAGTCCAAGCACCAAACAGATTCATCCAAGTACAACAGCTATCGGATGAATCACAATTCCAGACCTCAGCAGTTACCCACCCAGACCTGCTTACGGCACCCAGATCAGTTACTCACATTTAGTCCTAAATTCCTTAGCAAGGCGTTGAGAATTTGAGTCTCCTGTTTGCAATGTACTTAGCTTAAGGCAGTGCTCCTGTCGTTTAAAGCCAACGTGACTGCACAGCTCTAAGCAAAGTCTTGTGTGTTGGGGGAAAAGTTGGCACAAATACAAACATCTGCAGCATCTCCACAGAAAGCTTAAAAACTGAGAAGTTTATTGGATTGAACAGATCAAAATAAATAACAAGAGTGGGGGCTCATTAAGTTCAGTTGTTTGTATTAATTTATACTCATTCCAGCTGTAGATAATGTGTTTTAGACTAAACAGTAGTGTAGATGACTACGGGTAAGATAGCATTCCGGCTTGTTTCTACCCATCAGCAAACCCAGGAGACTTTCCAAGGCTATTTTTCAGCGGTAAGAGCAACTCACACGCCTAGCAACAGGACAGTTCAGTGGTTGCAAGGCTAAGAACACATCAGGTTCTTTTCATAATACTTTATGCTAAAATAGGGATGTATTTTATCTAAATAGTAGGATCGTACACATTTTTATGTCTGGAAGTTTACTCAAAAATGTAGGAAAATATTCTTAAAATACTACAACTCGAAACAATGCATGACAGAAACAATCTGCAGGCCTAGCATGCAGAATGAGTATCACAACGTTCTGATGGACAATGGGGCGAGTACAGATTGCCAGAAATTACATGATTGTTGTCATTAAAAATAGTAAAACATTTTTAAATTACATTACAGGAAATACTAAAAATACAGTAAACTTTGCAGTTTGTAGGTTCTGCAAGAAGAATGGTTTTAGTGGTGTGTTAGTTATTATTGAAACTCAAACAGTACTAGCTCCTTAATCTACAGTGGCACCGTATATACATGTCAGAATTCGCCATTTGAGTTGTACAGGTCATTGAGACAGGAAACATTCGAATGAAGTGGAGATAAAACATCAGCTAGCACAACAACAAATGTAAAAAATTCCCTGAAAAATTGCACAGAAGTCGAGTGGCTGCTAATACCAGCTAAAGGAAGAGAGGAATGGGTTTGCCCTACAGCGTGGCGGGGCCCGCCAGCCACGAGAGCCTACGTTGGTCTGGCTCTCAGAAGAATCCCAAGTCTGTCTGTCCATCCATCCGTCACAGGGGTTAGTCTTAAGTCTAAGCAGAATTGTTCTAGCCCATTCCTGCCAAGGACTTCTGAACTGCTCTAGAAAGTGTCTCCCTTTTCACAGCAATAATGCACCATGAACTCAGCATCCTATATGAAAGTACATTAAAATAGTCTACAGAGGAGAAAAATACACCCAAAACTCACCAAGGTTTTATTCCCCTCAATCTGAAGACTACTCTGCTTTTGTCCCCCTCCCGCCTTTCCCCCTTCCCTCAAATAAGCAGATGCAATCAAGGAGAAATTTATTTCGAACCAATTCTGCAAAACAGTTCAACAATGTCATACTTTATAAAAATACTTAGTTACATAATTAAACTTATTACTATTTATATAAAAAGTGTGAATGTGAATTTTCAACTCTGTTAGGGTAAGAACCACATCAAGGTCTTCAGGTGAAACAAATAAATTTTCATAAACATACAAACTCTTTTGGAGAAGTCTTATAATACACAACCATTTACAATGAACACGTTCATTAAGTTAGTGTTTTATTCCTTTACTATACAAGTGTTATTACAATGAACTGTTCCATTCAGTAATTAAAAATCCAAACAATGCCAATGTCATTTTTGGCATTTTTTGTTATAACTGTATTAATACATAAACTCATATGATTGTGTTATTAATTTTAAAATATTTAGAAAAATTAAAATTCCATTGTATTTTGGGGGTTTGATTTTTTTTTGTGTGTGGTTTTTTTTGTTTTATTTTTGTTTTTCTTACATAAAGCCCTTTTAAAATTTGATAACCACAGATGTATAGGTGGTGAGCGATGATGAGGGAAAATGAAAAATGATGGCACTGTTCTTACAAAGATCTGTTTGGTAGTTGGATTCAATGTAGTGTAAACCCATGAAGAACGTTAAGTTTAGTACCAGAACTATATTACCAGTTTTTCTGAAATTCATTTGCTGGATAGCTTTACAATGATAATATGAATTCCAACCTGGTAGCTAAGTAAGAGTTTAGTGTTTCAAAATTAAAGTACATAAGCTTGATCAGAAATTCAAGAACCTCATGCAAATTGTTGAGTAAAAGACATGATGTTATTGCTCGATATGTCAGTAGCCAAAGAAAATAGATCTAGATGTAGTGTCAGCTGGGCTGCATGCCAGCAGATTTCAATGTCATATTCGGACAATATTAAATATATTTTATCCCTTTAGTTTTTAAACTTTCACATTTTCTTTTGTTTATTTTTAGTTAAATAATTCTGTAGGAAGGGCAGAAGTGGGAAGAGCAACTGTGTGTAAGTGTGTCTTAATAGTCAAGAAAAGCAAAAGTGCAATCAAATCCCTGAACTAGTGACAGCTAGCATTTGTGGCACCCTCCCTTGTTAACACCTATAAGCCACACAGAACAGTACCAAACCTGTCTCTGAAAAAGGACTAAAAAGTGGCCATTTACCAGCTTCAGTCTCGCTTTCCTGGTGAGCTTCGTTCAGGTAGTCTTCCCATACAGAAGCTCGCTGTTGGATTGGAGCTTAAAAGATTAAAGGCTTTCTCCCCCCGATTGTATTACATAGCTTCAAGTTCAAATACATCATACTTTATCAACACAATTTTATAAAATATTACCTCATTTTCTAGTTACCTTCATTATTCTTAATTAGCTATGTAGAATGAAAAAAAGAAAAATCTCTCATGCTACTTTCCAGTTATATTAATACAAGTATTAACACAGTGCATTATGCTCTCTAATTTCACTATTGAGGTCTACCATTTCGATCAAGTTTGTCGTACACTGTTCCAATTTCTCTTTTAACCTGCCTACCCTAATAAAGTCCATGCAAGAGGAAGCTCAAAGATCAAGACTATATATCAAATACAGTTGTACCATCTGGGTTTTTTTGGGGAGGGTGGGGGGCACAGACATGTAATTTTGAACACAGGGAGTTTTACAGAACTGGAATAGAATTGCTTGGTCCCACAAAGTTCTTCTGCTTTAAAAATGTCTTACCCCAAGACCACTAATTCCAGACAATTCCCGCTTTAGTAGAATGATTATCAAACGTTGGGAAAATAAAGGATTTGAAACATTGGTTTTTCTGCTATTGTTCACACCGACACTCATTTTTCTACCCCGTATTTTCAGTAAGCTTCCTTTGGACCCTGAAAATAAGTTGGGAAAGAGGAAAAAAAAAATAAAAACATGTCATTGGTAAATTAGATTATAACACTTTAAAAGTGGTTTTGTGCAACTGCATTATGGAATTCCAGTTTGCCATTAAGAGCATGCAAAGTAGCGAAGATTTTCTTTCCTTTGATTCCTTATAGACATCAGGAATTCTTTGCAAGTCTTTTACATTTGGCAGATTTGTGCATGTTATATAGACTGTTGGCTTATAAATTGTCTCCAGGCTGGTACTGTGGTTCTGTAGCAGTAAAGTAGTCCTCCAAGAAAGACTGTATGTATTCAAACGTTGGTCTCTCGTCAGGGTCCTTCTTCCAACACAGTTTCATTAACTCATGGAGAGACTCTGGGCAGCCTTGTGGGCAAGGCATCCTATAGCCACGTTCCACTTGTTCCAGAACTTCCCGATTCACCATCCCTAAAAAGAAAGAATTTTACCTCTGAATGACCTGATGCAAAGAACAGTTTCCCCAAGTTTTTCAAGTGTCTCTCCAGCCACAATGCACATGAATCTACCATAACAGAACCTTTAATGAATGCACTTTATAACGAATGAGTTTTTTACATTTTGCATTAGATACCAGTGTAATGAAATAATTTTCAGAAAATGTAATTCCTCAATACCTGGTCCTTCTTCCACTTGTATGCTTTCTCATTTGTAAACTTTCCCACTGCCTTGGGCCTGTCCTGTCAAAAGCAGACTCAAGCACAAACACCTCCTTCCTGCCTTAGTTTCCATTCGAGGACCACTTCATTTGCAATCAGGCCAAGAAAAAGGCATTTTATACCTAACAGAACTGCCTTACAAATTCCAGTCACAGCGAAAGATGTGACAAAACATGTTACATATGTTCAGTTTCAAAATCTGGTCGAGCAGGTTCACTCTACCAATGCTCACTGCAGTCTGGGAAAGTGTCAAAAGTAGAAACTGCAGGAACAGACAGACAGGAAAACATAAGGATACCCACTAATCCGAAATGAACTATCAGTCACATTTACAAATGCTATTATCTTAAAACACTTTAAATATATATATAATAGTAAATAAACCAAAGCAGCTTTGTGAACAAAGGAACCAGTAAAGCACGACTAAGTTTTTGTCTCTGCTTGTCAACTGTGGGCTCTGAATGAAGGCAAAAAGTACAAAAGGTAACTTCAGAAGCACAGAATATAACAGAGAAAAGAAAAATCTATGAAATTTTCCTCTTACCTGGATATGGCACTCTCCCCTTTGTTACCAGCTCTGTCAGTAAAATTCCAAATGACCACACATCCGACTTGATTGTAAACCGACCGTACAACGCTGCTTCTGGAGCGGTCCATTTAATTGGAAATTTAGCTCCTACAAACATTGGAAGGACAGATACTCAATTTTCCCTTGCTTATACATCATTTGCTTACACTTCAAAATACTTCAAACAGAATACTGCACTCAAATGTTTACATTTTGCTTTGTTGACAAAATTCAAGGTGGTTTAGTATTTTAATATTTCAAACTGGAAACCAGTTTCAAACTAGGACAGCGACTACTGGCTACAATTTTTGGAAGCAGCTAAGACATCTGGGATTCTTAATCAAGTATGTTTCAAAAAGTAGGACGATCTTCAGAATCCTATGAGCAACCTCTCTGGAATCTCAGCTCTCTTCAAACTCTTGCAAGTTTTACCCAAAAAAAATAACTAAAAACATTACTTTGAAAACATAAGCAAACTGCCAGATAACTTTGAACATTAAAAAGTTTACTAAAATTGCACTTAGGCAAGGGGGACACCTTGCTGTGGTGTGTCTGTGAAATATATAGCTTTGAAACATAGCTGTGAAAACACGCTTATATGCATAATTTATTCATGCGGGCAGAATACTCGGACACATTCTGCTAAATGTAATAGTTCTAAGTAATTTGAAGGTAACTGGTCTTATTTATTCAGTAAATAAATTGGTCTTACCTTGTCTTGCAGTGTACTCATTGTCCTCTATTAACCTTGCTAAACCAAAGTCTGCTATTTTACACACAAGATTGTCTCCTACAAGAATGTTAGCTGCCCGGAGATCCCTGTGGATGTAGTTCATTCTTTCAATGTAAGCCATGCCATCAGCAATCTTAAAAATAAAGTTTTATTAAAGATTATTTTTCATGACTATATACATTTCTCCGAAGCATTAAGCTGTACCCCTTTATCTCAGCTCCGTTCTCACTGTGTAGGTATAGGAACTATAGCCCAGCAAGGGCTTCTGACAGCACCCGTCAGAGTGTGTCTGGCTCTACAGGATCTGCTAACGGGGAACTAGACCCTTTCTTTTTGCCAAATTACAAACCTGCAACAGAAGATGTAAGACAGAGCAGCATACAATAGCCAGAGCACTCAATATTTATGTTTAGTTGATATGTCATATAGTTTTAAATGTCTTCACTAAGCACAAAATACACTTTTCTTGGTTTATCCAATGTACCTGAGCAGCCATGTCAACCAGCTGTGGGAGTTTTAAGTATTTCCCTTCTCCTTCTTTAAGGAAGTCTAGTAAGCTGCCTGCAAAAGATGACACATTTTGGGGGAAAAAAAAGGAAAAAAACAAAACATTAATTTGACCTGAAAATATGACTGAGATTTTTTTTTTCCCCCAGATATTATGATTTACACATTTGTCTCCCCAAATCTGAGTTTGAAAACCTGTTCTTTAACAGAATACATGACTTGCTGACTGTGCCTGTAGTTGACTCTGCCCTGATAACTAGTTATAGCGCAACTTTTATCCAAGTATTTTGGAATCCATTTCAACAACTCAGATAACTGAACACTAATAAAAGAGACTGCTGCTTGATGATTACATGGCGATACATAAGGATTTTTCCCAACATTCCTGGTATCAATACCCTTCTTAGTTGGACTTCTTTCCACAGTGAGATTTACAACTAAAGAACAAAAAACCTCCTATCCATTACTTAAATTTTTCTGCCAGCTCCAGTTATATACTAGAGAAATGATTTTGAAATTGTTGCTTTTAATTTGTTGCTTTTTCTTCTTTACAGGGGAAACCAAAAGTATCTTCCATTCTTTACAATATATTATCTTCTCCCATTTATATAACGTGACTGTGTCCAGAACATTACAACATGAGTAATATTTGAAATCAGTTCGAAGGACATGCGCTCCTTTTAAGACAGTAACCTTTACATGCATGGTAAAACTTTGTCTCTGACATAACAGCCTTCCTTACAGGTGTTGTTATGCCATAAGGGTGTAAGAACACAATCTCTTTCTTAAGGAACTGGCAAAGACTGATAACGAATTGGCCTCATCACAGTCAAAATTATGACAAATTACAAGTGTGGTGATGGTGGGGAAAAAACCCACCCACTGAACTGCAGAGCTTGCAGTGGACTCATGGCTGTCGCTATGAATTAGATACCTCCGATGTGGTTTTAGTCACTTGCTCTATTTTTGCACTGATTGTAAAAGCGTGGCAGGCCAGACCCACACTGCTGCTGATCTTTGTTGTGTGTGTTTGCACAGACTTTTCCCCATCTTTCTTCATGAGCTCAAAGAACCAAAGAGGAGCAAAGATTTCACACTAACGTCTAGCAACCTGTCCACATTGATTAAAAATTTGAGTACTGTGCAATTCTTACCCACCTCTTTTCCTTGTAAAAAAACAAAGAAAAAAAAAAATTTGTTCCTCTAACTTTAAGCATGAACCACCAAGGAGGTTTTATGTTTTTTGGTAAAATGTGAGAAGTTTTTCAAATGAAAACAGAAGCTTCCAATGGCATTTTGAATCCATAACTTAGACAAACATGAAACTACTTTTCCAATTCTTTACTTCTCCTTTTGCAAGGTAACATCCCAGTTACAGTTTTAATCTTTACTTTTTCTTAGGCAGAACGCTATAAAGCTTTTTTTCCCCCCTGATTGCCTTGTTATTTAGGAACACCACCACCACAGAAGGAACTTTTTATATTTTCTATTCCTTTCTACCTTTTCAAACTTACACAATGCTTAAAACCCCCAACCAAAGAGGAAAAAAAAAAAACAACCCATGTATTTGTGGCTGAGTACTGAACACAAGCAGCCACTCTCTTTAACGTTGTTTCTACTTCTCACCAGGATAGCAGAATTTCACTGTGAGGTGAACAGAAGTCTGCTTTTTATAAAACTGGAATAATTGACTTGAAAATCTTCTGCTTCTTAACACTAATATGCTTATCATGTTTATTTCTACATTCAGCCTAAATCTCTAAATCACTGTTTCAGCATCAGGGGGAGGGAGAAATGATACCGAGCAAGGGAAGAAGGACGAAAGACTGAGAACAAGAAGATAAAGGAGGGAGTCTGGGAAAACACCTTCAACCTTTTTAAAATCTACTATTACATTGCTGGAAAAGAAAAACTAAAAAAAAAAAACCACCAAACCCAACTTATTCTGTCACTGTGAGTATGATTTGTCTACAGGCAGGTGTATCCACTTAATATTCCCAGCTATATCATCCAATTTACATGTAACAGGCAGTACACACTAAAAAATGAGGAGAAAAAACCCCATCTTGTATGTGGAAGATTAGCAAGGGTGACACAGATGTGCCAAAAAAATCATGCCTCCACCCACAATCTAAATCAGAACTGCTTCAAGTAGGTCAAGCACTGCTCATTTTAATTTAATCAAAATTACCAATTACTCCAGTCAGCTTAAACCTAATATTAATTAAACATTTAATTTGTTGTTGGGATCTTAAATAATCATTTAAACATAGTATCTTCAAACTCTTTTGTCACACACCTTTTGTCATGAATTCAGTGACGATATAGATTGGTTCCTCAGAAACAACGGCATACAGTGGAACAAGTTTGTCATGCCGTAATTTCTTCATGATCTGAGCCTCCTGCAGGAAAGCTTCTGGCATCATTGTACCAGGTTTTAGTGTCTTGATCGCTACTTTTGTGGTTCCATTCCATGTTCCTAGAGAAACAAATTAGATTTTATTCTCCTCTATAATACCCAAGAGATTGTCTCTGGAAACGGTTTGCTTTTTACTTCTGTTTTGTTAGTTAACAGTATAAATATAAATTAGAACTATATCAAATATTATTTTTACCTTTATGTGACTGATTGTAATTGGTACTTTTTCTCTTCAATTCTTTATCAGATTATCTTTTCAGATCCCAATACTGATTTATTTAAAATACTATTAAAACATTCACACAAACAACGGAAAGGTGTCACATTAATTTCTTACCCATCCATACTTCACCAAAACATCCTTGGCCCAACTTAACTTCCAGCCTCAAAGATTCCCTAGGAATTTCCCAGGCATCTTTTGCTAGTCCCTGTGTTTGCGGTTTCACAGTGGGACACACAGTTGTTAGCTTATGACACAGCCCATCGGCATGTTCTGGAAAATGGAAAAAGTAAGCTTTGTCGTTAAGCAGCGGTAAGACTGTAACAAAAGTAACATCCTAACGTTGATAAAAAGAACTAGTCCATTTACTGTTTGTCAAAATAAAAAACAAATTTTATAATTGTGAATTTTAAAAATAAGCTATTTACGCAGTTTTTCTTCCTGGTGAAAGGCACATGGTGGCACTGGGACACTAGAACTTGGGCTTACCTCTGTAGTGTTTCACCAACTTCTGCAGAGATTCAAATTGTGCTCTGGTTGTGATATAGTATCCACCATTGTCAAGTTTTCTGATTTTGTAGTGTTTCACATTATCACCTCTGACCTCATCCCAGTCACGTATAGAAAGGGAGTAAGCACCTACGAAACAAGTCATGCTTGGTTCTTCACCAGAAATTTAAAAAACATATTTAACTTATCTCCCCCACTGTCATTAAACACATACATGTGTGCACACACATACGTAAAATGTGACAGACATAAAAATGGTCATTATGTCCACCATGGCGAGGGTGGAATGGGAAAGAGGAGAGATACACATAAATATACATACCTTTAGTGGTTTCACTCTCTCTTACTAAGAAAATACCACGCTGGTTCCCAGGATTTAAAAGTAGCCTTTCTGCATCCTTCCTGCCCATCTTACCAAAATACCACCTAGAAAACATTAAAGGAAGTCTGTGTAAGTAAAAGCTTGCTACGCTTTGGTAAGCATATAAATACAAGATTTAGAAATCTCAAGCACTGACTGGACTACTAATATCCCAGAGCAGTTACAGATCAACACAAGTAATGACATCCATATAATCAAAAGATGACCTATTTCTATATGACTCTCATTTCTATTGTTTGCAAAATACAGGTAGAGAGGCCTCTATCTGCAAATACTGTGTTTTTCTGCTGGTTTAACAATGGACACCAACAGTACTTCACACTGACGGGAACACCCTCCTTTTGGTTAAGAAGTTCGCAGGTCAAGCCGAATCAGATGACACACTTTGGTAGCCCACTCAAAACACTGCAGCAGCTGAAACTACCTTGTCTAAAAAGTTTTGGCTATATGGTAGAGAACAATATTTAATGCAAAGTAGGTGTGCATAATTATCACCGGATCACAGGTTCAGTCGGGTTGGAAGGGGCCCTCGGGAGGTCTCTGGTCCAGCTGTGAGTGCAGACCCAGCTGCTCAGGGCTTTGCCCACTCCAGTCTTGAAAACCTTGAGGGATGGACCCTGCACAGCCAACCTGGGCAAGCTGTGGCCCTGCCTGGCTGTCCTCAGATTAAAAGGGTTTCTTCTTCTATCCAGCTAGGACCTCTCCTGATTCAACTTCTGTTGCCTCCCATCCTTCTCTACCTCAGTTGAGGGAGCACTTTTTTCTACTGATCATTTAGAAACAACCCCGTGGTAGGTATCATTCACTTCTCTGAGTAACACTCCATCTTTGTTGCATCATTCTGATACCGAAAACTACGCAGATGTTTTAAAAACACCTGCGTTTTTTCTTGCCTTAAGTTCTTTCAAAAAGGAATTTCTTCTTTTATGCTCTCACAGCATGCTCATCCTGATGAGCAGCTTGCACACAGCTCTGTCCTGAGCCAGTGACAATTTTAAGGCCCATCTCCCAGTGAATCCCCAGGCTTTAGAATAACATTTATTTCTAACTACATTTTATTTTGATTGTGTGCTTCAGAAGTCACAAAGGGATGCAAAGTGTAAATTTCAAACATTTTGATTTGGCACCGTCATAGCATCAAGCAAATCTGGCTTCCTGAGCGCTGGGAGAAGAAAAGCAGTATTGGAAACTGCTACAAAACAAAGGTTTTGTGGGTGAAACATTTTGGGGGGGGAAAATGTAGGTAAGGAGGGATCACTTTGTTGGCCTGTGAACAGAACGGCCTGTGCAATCACTTGGGAATTTAAAACTTATTCTTACTTTTTATTGTATTTGCAGTTTTGACTGTTTTAAGTAAATGTGCAAAGTTAGAACTGGATATGAGAATACATACATTTAAGACAATTTGGATGTAGCCTATAATCTTATTGAAGCAAACTTGAACCCTAGTTAATTACTTCACACGAAAACGCCTCTTCCCTAGACTACTACAACAATTTACAAACTATATTGTAAAATGCTATTTTATTTCATTACCTATAAAATAATAGCTGGGTTTACTTGTTGTTCTTATGAGCATTAAACATTTATATTATGGTATCATTGAAAAGGCACACAGATAATATGGATCCCGTCACAAGCAGTTTGTGATATAAATGCCTTCAGGCTTAGAAAAGACCACGTAAAGAAAACCCGAGCAACTTGGGGCCGTGTATTGCTTTTGCACTTGTAACTCCAACTGCAATCACAACCTACAAACGCTATCAAAGCCCAGGGCTAACAAATGAACTCTATTCCAAATGCTGTGGTGATATTTAATAAAATTAGCACTAGTTCTTTAAAATAGTCAGTTTAAAAAAGCTTCCTTGCTCACCACCCTTCACTCTCACCTCCAGTCATCACACAGACCTATGACAAATCCCACCACCCTGTCTTCCCAGTCTTTTGCAGCAATACTTTCTTTGCAGAAACACTGCGTTCTTAGTTTGCAAAGGACTATCATTTCTATTTTACCATCACTGCAGCTGTAAAGACAATATGCTTTTATTTGTAAACAAAACAAAACAAAACCCCCCAAAACCCGTCAACTTTTAAAAAAAATAAAATCTGAAGTCAGTAACTTTAAAAGCAGCTGAAACTCAAGGGCATAAAATAACAGTGCATCTTTGATGCAATCACTTTTTAATAGCAAAGAGCCAGGTGAGAGCAGCAGCAACATGCTAAAGTCTCAGCTTGAGATTCAGGAAACATCTTGGAAATTGGGCACTTTTCCCAGAAGTGCAGTAGGAAACACAGAAGTGTGCAGACCCTGTATCAGGGAATTGCTTATTGGCAGCACCATGCCTGTATATTGAAGCAAGAGCTGCAGAGCTTTATATTTCTAATACAACAAATACAATTAATCCCTTGGAACAAGTATAACCCGAACTGGTACCCCAACTCACAACCGCCACAGTAACTTTATGTGATTCTGTAAGCGCTCTGGGATCTTTGTTTGTAAACAAACATAGGAAGTACTGGTACCGAAAGCAATACAATTTTCCCAATTCATAGTAGGCCTTAGTGTGCCTAACAATTTTGTCACCAAAAAGTTGTTATAGATTAATAGATTAGCAATAACTGTGCACACAAATGTTTTTTCAGAATGTACGATTAGGTGCTACCAAAGATATAGCTGATCTTGAATTAGGGTTTGGCAAGCAAAAATAAGGATAAAAACCTAGAGCTGATGGTGTGTGAACTCTTTAAGTAAAAACTATCCATTTCTGCTTTATATGAAACCTAACACATGTCTCCCAATTCCTATCTTCATTATTGCATTCTCCCATCCTTTTTCCTTTAGCCCTACACATAGCAAGCAGGCATAAAACATTTGCATGCGTGTCCACCTCACACTTACTAATAATTATACCTTTGACATCATCCAAGTAGCATTGCTATCCTTTAATTAGCAGTATTATCCTACTTTACCCTTAAATGTCACATATACTGAATTAAAGGAATAGTGCCACCACAGGGCACAAAGTGTAGAATGGCTAATAAGGACAGATTGACAGGATACAATGTCTTACTCTTCTGCTTGAATGGAGTCTGCGGGAGCTACATAATTGCTTGGGATGTAGCCTGTTTTCCCCGTAGCAATGGATCTTGCTTCCCACCAGTCTCCTTCCCTGCAATGAAACATCAGTTATCTCTTCCACATATAAACAATACATCATTCCCTAGCACCTATAATATCCTCACATACGAAAGGCAGGTTAAATTTAGGTAATGTGTTATTTTAATTGTGAAGGCATCTAAAATAGTTTGTGCTGCACCTAAATGTATTTTCCTTTTCATTCTAAGCAACACGAGTGCCTCTTAGTGGAATTTTGCATTTTAAAGATTTGGGTTTTGTTTTTCTCTTAAATGTAAAATGAATTTATCAATTTATCAAAATGCAAACCTACAGCAAAACGTTTTGTGGCAGAGATGTGTAAATAAACTTCCCAGCTCTCTAGTCTTCATCTGTCTCTCCCAGATCATTCTGCCCGTATGCTGACACTGAGTAGTGAAGGAGGCAGGAAGCCAGCAAATAAAATTAGAGAATGGGACAAATGTATAAATTAGAACTATTACCGCAGCCAAAAGCTGCGTGTAAAGAAATCTCCAAGGTGAACAAATTATGTCCTTTCCACTAGACTTCTAGAAAGCAGGCTGTAATGCTGTAATGCTGCTGCAGTTGAACTAGAACACCAGAGTACTCATGGCTATCTGGGCACGGGTTTAGTGCGGCAGCCGGCCAGACGCGCTTCCACGGCCACGGCCCTGCCCACAGGCGCTGTGCTCGCCTCTGGCATTTGCAATGCCATATCCCCGTGAGATACGGGAACTCGCCAGAGAGCATCTGGAATCAATATTTTAACCCCATGCTTGTTGAACATTGCAAGCATTCAAAGAAAGAAAGAAAAAAAATATCTATTTTTCACTGAAAAAGGATACACAGATTTCAAGAAAAGTTGAGGATCTATTTATTCCCAACATCAACCAAGTGAAGTCTGTGAATGAGAACACTTACGTGTTATTTATTATCTGGAACCGTTCACCTTTCTTAAATGAAAGGTCATCTGTAGTTCTAGCTTCATAATCATATAAGGCCACAAATACAGTAACACCACCTTAGGAAAAAGAAAAAAAAACCCACATGATATAGCAGTAACATTGCAACACTTGATTTAAGGACTTGTCCATGAAAGAACCCATCAATTTTGATTTAGAAGCAACTAAACACTCTGGGTTGCGTCTCATTTTGGAAGCTGGATCAATAATCAGCTCATTTCTTAAGACAGTGGAAAGCCTATAAACAGACACCCTAAAAATAGGCTTCCACGCCACAAAAGGCAGCTAGATACATCACTGGAAGTACATTAATAACTAGAGCACTTATATACGGAAACGTGCACGACACATCAGGAGAAAAGTAAGTTAGCTTCTTTATTAGGCTAGCTTCTTGTTAAGAAGTGCAGTTCTAGAAGATCCTACCCCACCACAATGGTGAACCATCAGCCACTGATTTTTACAGAAGTAGTCTCCTGTTGAACTTAGCTAATAAATAAGTGGTGTGTTCCCAACTTTCTGAGGTCACACATCAAGATCTACTCAAGGAATTGAACCAGAAATAAAAGTACTCTGTTGGGGACAAAGAGAATTTTCTGCTTTAGGACTAATGATTTTTTTAGTTCCATCAAGCCTCTCCCTCAGCGAAGCAGACCCTTGCTGAGGACGATCCATCCATCCAAGGACCGAGATACATCACAGGACTAGCAGCAGCACGCTACCAACCCTAAGGAATTCGCTTCCCCATCTCACTTCTAGTGTAGGGCACGTTGTTGAACGTGTCCCACTAACAGGACACCCACGTGAGAGACGGATGGTAGGGAGGCTCCTATACTTACGGTAGGAAAACTTTTTCTGTACTTAAAAGAACTAATCTATAAAACTGGGCTGACAGAGAAAGAAGGACAGGAGAACAGGCTATACGAGATGTACAAGCTATGAGCAAAAATAAAGAACTATGTACCATCACTAGGAGAAAGTTAAAATAGAAAACTGCAGATGGGCAATTCAGGAAGACCTTTTAAGCTCTAGAAATGCTATTTCAGTCTAATGGACATTCAGGAAGCCTAATGATAGTCCAAGCGATAACTTATTTTTAAACGTATAATATTACATCTCTAACTGCACATATATGTACCAGGATAAACATGGAAGACCACCAACAGAAACATGTTGCATATAATTTTAGATCTTACAATTAACATGACAGTGATCAGAAAGGAAGAATACGCAATGCAACGGGGATTGTCTACATCTAATATGCTTTTGCAGTGCACACTTTCTGATATAACAGCTCCTAACCACTTAAATATTTTCATTTGATTTAGAGTCTTCCTGTGATTAAAGTCTCTCAGCAGGCCTCAGCTGGAAATGAATTTACAGTTCCTCTAGGAAAAACAGAACAAAAAAGTCCCCACAGGAGGTTAGAGTAATTGAGGGGTTTTTTTGAAGTGTGATTTATGAACTGAAAATTAATTAGAATATTCCCCAGAAGTTAACAGTTCCTAAACCAAGTTAAAATCAACACCAATTTCTAGGAATTTTTGCCTGCATTACTACGTTACTGCATTATTTTGATGACACAAACTGTTACACGGAACAAGAAAACTGCGGGGATACGTACCATATTTGCACAAACAGAAACCAAATATTACAGAAATAAACCATCCCCAGAGAGTTCTTCAGCAGATGAAGAAAATCAATACTCTCTATTCACAATTATCACAAGAGTTTTTAACTGCACAGAAAGAAACTCGGAAACTCCAAGAACTTCAAAACAAACTGTACAACTTCTAGAAAGATACCACCGTGGGAAAAGAAAGAGATTAATTCCTCTGGACAGTGTAGCACTAGTCAAAGTAATGGATTCAAATGTGAACCACGCAATAAGAGAATTATCAATAATTATGAGTATTTGTGTACTCAATTATTTTTGAAGAAAAAATTGGAAAAGCTAACATATAATCCTTGGAAAGTTTTGATTTCGACACTTCAGCTACCATAAAACCTGTTTTTATTCTCACTCACAAGTGTTATTTATTTCATAGCAAAGAATAACAAAATACTTAAGGAGAACAGCATCAGCACAGAACGTTTTAAACAAACAGACACTGCTCAAATGATTTTTGAAGCCTCTTGCAGCTGTTTTCTCTGTGAATCACTGCAAGGTGATCTAGTTTAGCTGCTCAAGCTTTTCGTGGTCATAACATTTCCCTTGAAGGTTATCTTTCACTAGGTCAGTATTCCCATCCTCTAATCTAGGAGTGGTTTTGGAGAGAAGGCTTTACCTTCTTGTTCAGCATCAGGACCACAGAGCACTAGTGCTTACACAGCTTCACGGAAGGCAAGAACAGCGGTCCATTTTTCTGTTTGGATTTTCAGTAATATTCTATGAATTCCAAGTATCTGATGACTGAGAATGCGTAATACAGGAGCAGTGCGACTAAGATTTCTTTTCCTTTTCTGCTCTAGAGGAATAAAAGGCAGCTCAACTCTTTTCAGCCTCCCTACAGGCCACGATGACAACCATGTCATCTCTTGTCAGACACCACTGACGGACTGGATAAGCACTACTGATGCTTAGGGCCTGTTTGACAAGCCCATCTATTCTCCTCCGTTGCAAAACAAAGGGCCACAGAATGCGATCCAGTGTTTTATTTGTCAGAAATACAAAAAGCTTACAGCCAGATGAAGTTCGTCATCTTATTCATTCACAAAACCACCCAATTTTGATTGATCTGAAAATCAGCACTGAATGTACCAAACAATTGCTGGTGCAATTTTATTTATTTATTTACTTTTAAAGTGTGTGTGTTTGTGGATGGGCTGGTTTTACAAAACGAGGAGGAATAATTACATATGCAGTATCATTTTACCTGACCACAAAATGATGGGAGCGTTCACCCAAATCAGCCTGCCTGCTGCGAACTGAATTCACACCGATGAGATATTAGACTATCTTTTCCCGAGAAATCTCTCCCGTTGACTGTGGTCCAAGATACAACATGCTTAACTGCCCGCAGGAACAGGGACAGGCAAGAGATCATCCCTCCCGCTCTCTGCAGCAAAAAGGATTTGTTGTACCTGGCGGGGGGCTCCATCCCTGATGTCTGGTAACACCCAGGAGTGCCTGCATGCACTGCTGGAGATTCCCACGGGAATAAAGAACCAGGTCTAGTAAGGAGAAATACACAGAGGTTCTTGGAGGAGATGAAGCATGATAAAATGTCCTCAGTGGAGCTAATGAATAAAAAGAAATGCTGCCCTTACTTCATTTCTGCATATGTCCATCCAAAACGGGGATTCAGGGCTGACTCAAAAAATTTTGAGACAGGACAGATGCTCATTTTAATTATTGGATTTTTAATGAATTCCCAAAAAGGGAATACAAGATGATCACTACCTGGCAATTCGTATTTGGTTTCCTCAATTGCTTAATGTCAAGGTCACAGGGGGTTTTAATGGATCTCAATTTCTAGTGTTTAAGAGATTTTAAATGCCACTGTAACGAAGCAAACATTTAAGCACTGTAATTGTGCTAACATTAGAGGTTTGTGGGAAAACTAGAAATAGACTAATAAGGAATTATTTACCCTGTTCTGTGAAGTGTCTGTGCAAAGCTTCTACAATAAATTACTTTTCTCTCTCTCTCAGAAAAAGAATAAATGGCAGCTTCCACTCAAAAATATCCAGCAAAACTACTGAAATTAGCCATGTGCACAAAATCAGTATCTTTGTAATGAAGTTTTAAGATTTTGATATAAAGGTGCGTTTACAACATCAAATGTGCATGTTGCTTTAAAATGCTGTATCTTCAGAGACGTTGTATCTCAGCCAAGAAGGTGTCTCTACCTCGTAAATTCTATTTTTACGTATTCGATTTTGGTTTTAATATGACCACCAACAAGGAGAATTCTGCTCTTCCATTTTACACATATTGTTCATATAGTAAAACACACAGAATATACTATATATCCTATTCAGCTTTCTAAATGAACAGATTCAACGTTGCATTCACATAAGTAACTTACAGCTAACCAAGTAAGTCTGAAAATCTGTTTAAAGTATCGATTTCCTGAATTTGAAGTGTTTTTCATTTGCACCTCTCTCCAAAAGTTTAAAGCCATTATCCCACGTGCATCCCTTCAACAGCTTAGAACTTCTAACACAATTTTATTAACTACTCCCATTACTGCCTTTAATAAGTATTAAATTTCTCTGTGCTGTGATCCTAACCCCCTCCTCCAAAACACCCAAGCCCCAATCACTAGTGAACAGGGGCTGAATTATGATCTGAGCAGTAGAGATACTGAAAATCAGAAATCCCTAAAAGGCAATTTATTTTAAATTTGCAATTTATTTCTGTATGGCAAGGTGTCATAGTCTTTTTTTTAAATATGACTGTCAAGCTTTAATAATAATAATAATAATGATTATAACAGCATCGGTTTATATAACACTCACCTGTTAAAGTACTAGGATATGGACTTGGCACAGCTGAAAATGAAGATGATGCTCCTCCAAAGGGTGTCATTCCTGAGGGCCCTCCAAAAGGAGTCATGGAATGACTATTAAAATTAACTGCTGATCCCTTTATTGACGGTGACTGTGTTGCTTGGCTGGAGTCTGATCCGTAATGGCTGACATGGGAAATAACAGGTTCTGGAGTATTATCAGTTCTGTATTTCATGGCTGGACCTTTATCTTCTTTGCTTTTAATGCACCCCATGGCTGCTTCTGTGAGAATGAGAGGAAAAAAAGAGTTCATCTCCACGTTGCATCTTTTGATAGTTAACACAGAAGATGCCCAAAAAGTTACCAAAAATGCTGATTTATTACTGTTTAAAAAAACCCATAACAACCCCCAGCAATTGCTACCACATGCAGACCATAAACTCCGATGAAAAAGTGTTCTGGAATAAGATCTAAGCCATTCTGAGACTAGAGAAGGCCTAATTATTTTCCCTTACAACATCACATACTAACAGCACATTTGGATTAGCCTTCATCCCAGTTCCTTGGTGGACTGTAAATGGTAAAAAAGAAGAAAAGCAATTAAAAAAAAAAAAAAAAAGGAATCAAGCAACAGATGAGGAAAAGACACTGAAGACTTCTACAGCAGAGTGGAAGGGGAAACAAATGTGACAAATCCAGAGTCAATTCTACAAAGCAAATCCAAAGCAATTATACGAAGAAAACGAGCGGGGCATTCGGGTTTTCTTTTATAAGGACCTGTGCGATAAGGTCCCAACCTGTTTGTGGTATTACAACTAACGGCTTTAAAGATGCAGAGAAGTTTTCATCCACTGCCAGCCCCTCCAATACAACTCACAAACCAACCTGAGATATTCACGGCCCCAGGATAAGTTTAAGCTCTAGAGTCTAACTAAAATTACAAAAATTTTAGAAGAGTAATTACAACATCCATAGTAGTTTAGAAACTGAACTGTGCCCAGACAGGTGACAATTTATAGCCCTGATGGCCCAAGATTGCCACCAGCTCCCACGATGGGCAAACTGTGCCAGCGCGGTGCCACGGGGACCCCCCTGACCTCCTGATGGAGGCAACCAGCGAGGAGACCCGTCGACAACAATTAAACGACTGTCTTAAGAAGTCACCACCTGTCATTTATCAGGTGGTGACACGTGATCGCAGGCATTTTCTGCCTTACCCCAGCTGGGAGACAAATCAGGAAGAAAACAGGAGTCTCTGTTAGATGCAGCACTGGTCTGGCATGAAAATTCCTGTATTCTTGGGAGGGGAAAAAAATAAAAATAAAAAAAATCCACTTTAACTTCAAAAGTAGAAACCTCCACAAAAATAGGAAACCAACTGCTTCACATTCTCTAATGAATCAATTAAAAAACCAAACCAGCAGCAGTCTGAAAGCATTAAAAATAAGTCTTTTCACAACTGCACTAACAGTTTCATGGAATCTTACTAACAATTAAGGAAACACAATGTTTCCTATTCTGTGTCTTTTTTTTTTTCCTTTTCAATTCTCTCTTACCTTGTTAACTATTAGACACAGAAATATGGAACAAAGTAAATTGTACTAAACAAATACTGCCTTAATAGTCACATTGAGAGAAACTAATTCCCTCTGTATAACTCACCATTACAATATTAAAGACACCGTAATTTCCTCCAGAACCGTGAATCAGTGTTCCTGGAAAGAAGGCGGCACACAGCCGATGGAATTTACTGCTCATAAAGATTAAGCACATTCACCCTGTCAATTCAGCCCCTCATGCTGTAGTGTAACACAATGACCGGGGCACAAACAAGCAGCAACGAAGCCAAGTAACTGCATTTTTACAAATCTCGTCTGACAGTTCTACACAGAACAGTGAATCATCACAAAAGCACACCTTTTTTTTTTTTCCACTTCTGATACTACTGTTGCCAACTTATTAATTGTGCACAAACATCAATAGAGCAAGACTCAAGTACATGCATGAAGAATGTAATGTGTCTAAACACCTTACAAAAGATGCCTTACCAGCTACAGCAGAAAAGCCAGTTATTAATTCACGATACAAGTCAATCAAACACCCAATCACAACCTTTTAATTTCCCTACCACTGCAAATAAGACACTATAATTTGAACTCCTTTTTTTTTAGCCATGTGCCTGCCTATTGTGAACTCCTGCCTTACTCTGAGGCCTATTCCTTTGATTATCTTTACAAAACTGCAGTTTGCTGCTAGCACCGAATAAAAGTCCAATCACCTTTGCAAAAATGTCTTTGCTAATAGCACCGATCCCTTGCCTTTGGCTGAAAGTTAAGCACCACACATGATTCGAAAGTCCAGCACACTACTTACATTAACAATGTCAATTAAAAGGGAAACGTATGGACATTTGTACATGAAGTGTTCATCACAAATATTTTTTCCTCCCTTACTTCTGGCATTTGGTTAACTAGTAACAGGCTGCTAAGACTTCAAGATTGGGGAAAAAAAAAAAAGAAAAAAGAAAAAAAAAGATAGAAAACAATTTACCAAGTCCGGTAATACTCCTGTGTTCTGGCCGTCGTATTGCCGACTTGACCAAGCGGCTGGTGACAAGGCTTCCCTGTAACTGCTGTCACCCATAGGTGCTCACCCCCTTGGGCTGTGGCTAGCAGCAAGAAGTCACCATTGCTACACTCGACTGCCGCAAAGAAAAGCCCTCACTGAAGACCTGAGGTCATCCTGGAGAAATACATTCAGCCTCTCCCTTGCTTCTCCCCTCCCCAGCCACTTCACTGTTAAGGTAATCTTCTTTCGGGGGTTAAAGAGATTAACAACAGCGATTCAATCAGCACTTCAAAGAGAAAGACATTCAGAAATAAGCAGGCAAAAATTTAAAAGCTCTACTTTTATAACTGCGTACTCACCAAAAAAATTAAGGAAGCAAACTCAGCTTTTAAAAGTCAAAGCCATAGGTGGAAATTACTATAAAATACCGTGTAGGCATTTATGAGGAGGAATTAGAGGAATGAGGGGTGGGAAGACGACACAAACCAAGAGTGAGTGGTAGGGAAGGGAAAAATGATTGCCCACCCTATAGGGGGAAAACCCAATGACTCATTACTGTTTAGTCTCGTAATAAATTACTGGATAAAGAAAAAAAAAAGCCCTAAGCAGCTGGTATGCAATGTTGGATTTGATTATTCTGGTACTGCATTTGTTATCAAAAATGTACGTAACTGAAATAACTTTACAGCTATTTTTATCAAACTTTGTCTGACCAGCAACAAAATATTAAGGAATAAATTTCTTTCATAAAATTCATGGTGCTCTTTCTGAAGCACTGAACTCTCTCTAGGAAAGATACAGATGAGAAGTTCGTGTTTGCTCTGTGGAAGTCCATCTATTCAAAGAAATGCTGGCCCAAGGTATGTTACTCACAAGCCACTGATTTCCCATTAGTTAAATCACTGGTTTAGACCAGACTGGTGTCTGAAGCAAACTACTTGAGTAACTCCAGCAGCTTGTTCTTTCTTTGGAACAAGTACTCTCCTGTTGGTTCTGACCAGTGTGCCCATGCGTTTGGGGGGGGCGGTTAGGAGTCAGCTTGCTGGAGGTCTATCACAAAACCATGTTCAGAAGGGCATGGACTAAATGCACAGATGTCTTGCTCTGCTTTGTAGATGAAAACAATCCTATGTTAGAATCATAGAATCGTTATGGTTGGAAGAGACCTCAAAGATCATCAAGTCCAACCTTCTACCCAACACCACCATGCCCACTAAACCATGTCTCGAAGAGCCACATCTAAACGTTTTTTGAACACCTCCAGGGGTGGTGAGTCCACCATCTCCCCGGGGAGCCTTTTCCAATGCTTAACGACTTTACAGTAAAGAAATTCTTCCTAATATCCAACCTGAACCTCCCCTGGCGCAACTTGAGACTTCTTGAATGTTTTCATGAAGTAACAGAAGCTAAAATGATTACTGGAAGGACAGCTCAAGGTTAGCAGGATGCCCGCAAAAATCAATAGAAGAATGAGAGTACTCTAGGAAGTAGCCATCAAATGAGATTTTTGTGATATCTAATTTGACCTGGGCTTTCTGGAGAACTCATACAAAGGGCGAAAGTTCATTGTCGTTCCATAGTTTACAAACACCTCAGCCAATGACACAGGACCCTTAATAACCTCTCTGCCAAATATGAGAGCTCCAAGAAAGTCAATGCTGCCCTCTTATCTTCCCAACTCTGTTTTATAGGAGTGCGCTGGATCACCAGGAAAGCTTTGTTCAACAACAATTGGAAAGTGTGGCCAGTAAAAAGTCTTTGTGAGATTTTTTTTTCTGCTTTCCTTTCAGAATGATGACGTACCAGCCCAAGAAAAGCGACTTTTCCCTAAGAGCCATCATATCCTAGAATACTGACAAACGGTTCCCTCGGGCTGCCTGCAGCCTCGTCCATCCAGCCCGGAGCGGTGGGTGTCACAAGGGAACCCCTCGTTCATCCAATGTGTCTTTGCTCTTTCCAGTTGATAGTTACAGAAGTTCTCTACTCCTTGGCTCCTTGGGACACAAGGTTCTTGGGACTACTTCAAGAAAGGTCTCCTGCTGGCATGAAGGAAGATGCTAGAGCTCTCTTTGAAAGAGGTGATTTTAACTCAGGTGGAAAAACTCAGGTGGAAAAGCAATCTGCAAACACCTCTAAACACCATACTCATTTCCTCCCCCCATGCTCTACCCATTGGCATCAACATTTTGAGGGCTCGATGTTACCCTCTGAAACCCCAAAGACCAAAAGCTGAGAAAGCCTCACATTTGTTTCACTTGCTGTAATGGATTTGATAATAAAACCCATTTGCCAGAAAAAAAAAACAAGAAAAATGAGGAGTTTCCTCTTGTGGCCAACCGGAGGTACTTTTCTGATCTTCTGTTACGCTATAGCACGTCCCCAGATGCCTTCTGGAGACTTCATCATGATGTAGGGCCAGGAATGACAACCACATGTAGCCATTCCGATGTGCCGCAAAGGGAAAGACGGTCTAGGGAGTTGTTCTCTTTCCAACCTCTAGACTAAACCAGGTACTAAAAACATACAAGAACTAAATGCAAGAGGCAGGGCAAAAGAAAATTCACTAAGGGGAAGGGTGGGTTGCAATATTTCTTTTTTCCATTCCTTTTGATTACCGAAATTGTTCATACAGCCAAAAAGAGCACATAAGCCAATTTTCACTATGAAGAAAGAGTCAAGTCAGAAGAACAAGCAAGTCAAATCTCTTTCCA